TGATCGTCAATCGTGGTGTGAGAGCATTTCTTTCATTTCATCTAATTCATAATTGCACACCAAATTACTGTCATGTTTTGTGTATTTGTAGTTCAGTTAAATTTAATTTATACAGTGTCAGTTGACAACATCACCGTTAGCCTAAGGTGCTTTATATTGTGAGGCATATTCCTTCAGCAATGCTCAGTCACACTAGGGAAAATAGGGGTAATCTTACTGTGAGAGGGTACAATGAAATTGCTATCTTGTTGCCTTTGAAACAGTTGCTTTGAAGAAGAGCACCAGATGTGGCAATCACTCATAACTTCAGGGCCTCACTGATAAAACGGCAATAAGAATGAGTCAGCCTGCTATCAGTTTGCAGTTGACAGGGTTCAAATTTGGAAATACATGCAATATGTTTTATGGTAATACAACAATGAACTGTGATGTTGGCTACATACACAGAAATTCACATTACTTACATCAGAGTCCAGAAAGCATGTTGTGTTGGAAGCCTACATAAATGTATCCACAAATAGTGGCTATAATCTGCAGTGACATGCACGCAGAAACTTTGCATTTATATAAGAGTATAACCATAATGCAACTAGTTGTGTCGAGTCCCTTATTGCAAAGGGACATATTGTAGATGAGTGGCACTCATCTGCTCATCTCACAGACTCAGACTGACAATCTGTCTGTATTTATAAATGATGTGATATCCCATCCAGTCACCTTGATATCAAAAGTAGCAACAGGTGTTTATAGGTGTTACATGCTCAAAATCACGGTGTATATCCATATCAGGACATTTAAAAACTACTACAGTCTTCTGTTCACTTCTAAAGGTGCTCAGTCAATATAAAAGATTTAACCACCAATAAATGTAGCCTTCTGTGTGACCATATATTGTTTCCTTCTACACTTGCTGCAGGGAATGGGAGAACTTGTAAGTATTTTCATTTTTAGACACCGTGAGTTGAGCTGAGCGATCGATTTAAAAATGAAACCTGCTGTGACCCAATGTTTCCTGCCTCAGGAACCAGACGGACGTGAGGCGTATGCATACAGCAATGAGGCTCAATGAGGTCATCACGAAGAAGTCCAAGGAGGCAAAACTTGTCCTGCTCAACATGCCGGGACCACCAAAGAACCGTGTGGGCGAAGAAAACTGTATCCTACATCTCACATACTGTTCGTCATATGTCTTAGTTCAGTTCACATCATCATTTTACTTAAGGGTAAATTATTCATCTTGCAGTTTCAAAGAAAGTGCTTTATAGTAAAAGGAAATTATAATGGGCCAGGCTTTCTGCTTCAGGCTCACTCGTTGACTTTTCTTTAAGCAGATGGTTGAAAGAGGCACAAACATCGTTACTTAGAACTGTAGAAGGAGAGTGATATTTGGTGCTGTCAGGAGATAAGGTGGAGGAGGTGCAGACTATAGATCAGGAAGGCCAAAGCTCAGAGCAGGACATACCAGCTTTCAATGATCCTAGGTAAGGGCAAAATGACAATGTCTGAAGTCCATTATGGAAAAGAAGTAACGGGTAAGCTACAACTCTGGAAGTAAGGGATTTGCTGCATGGCAGTTTATCCCAGGAAAACTAGGTCCCCTTCCAGTATTCTGAATAAAGTCTTTTCTGCCTATTTCAGCCCTCTGTTTCCTGTGATCTGCGTACAAAGAGAGCCATATTTGTTACACTGAAAGCTCTAGGATTACCTCGCTAATCCATTAATCTCATTTCATAGTGCACCCCTCAGGAGACCACAGCTTTTGTCTTAGTGTTTTGCTCTTTGTTTAGGTTTGTTTTCAGTCAGTGTTTGGTTAATGTTTGGTATTAAAACTACTTGTCAAGATTTTTTAAAGATCGTGGTTTGGATTAAAGGAAAGATTTTGCCCTGCACTATAAGAATTGACGCTTAGGAGCTCAGTCTGTCCAGTCAGTGATGCTGATTGGTACTGATAAAGGGTCTATACTGTGTGTCTGTTGAGGTCCCAGTATCAAAGGACACTTAGGCATCTCTGACACTCAAGCAACAAAAGTTCAGTATATGGTATGAGGACATACTGCTTATTTTAATTATTTCTCACTTGAAATAGGAGTCATGCTGCTCGCATCATCGAATCATCATCTTTCTCCCATCTATGTGACCCTTTGACAAGGCATCTGCATGATAAACAAATTATGTTGTAATAAATGAACGAAAGAACGAACGAAAGCATGAATCTTTGGACTCAAACTAGTAGAAATAAATATATTACTGTAAAAATTACAGAAAAAGTTCTGGTAGTTATTGTACAGGCTGTCATAATTATAAAATGGAAAGAAAGCATTTTTCTGTTAGCATGAAGTAAAAGGGTAGTAAAAGGGTAAGTGGGGTAAAACATCAAGTTAACTTGAAGAATTTTGTTTTTGCACATCATTGGTGAAAATTGTAGTCTGAGTCCATGTAGTCTGAGCATGATGTAAGCTGCTGCACGTTCCTTAAATATGTACGGTAGTCCTTTCATTTCACTAAGATGAAAACTCCTTGACTGCGATTGTTTCCCAGACATGGAGTTTCTTGAGGTGCTCACTGAAGGTCTCAATCGGGTCCTCCTGGTGCGTGGAGGTGGACGCGAAGTCATCACCATCTACTCTTGAACTGCCTTCGTGAGCTCATAACAGCACATACCTGGACTCTGCCCTCTCTTCCCTTCCCACACATCCATTCTGTCACCTGCCACCACACGTTGTACTCAGAGTTTTCAGGTGAAATACTATGTAGACTCAGCTGAATGAGGTTCCAGGTAACCTGTAGAGTACATAGTACACAGAATCGTGCACTCCAGTGATTAACTTGAGTACATGTTATCACCCAGGTCATTGTTCTCGACTCATCAGGTCAAGAACAGTTCAACAGTTTTAGAGATTTTAATTACAAACACAAGAGACAACTGTAAGTTTTCCTGATAACGTAGAAGTTTGCCAAATATTAAAATCAGCTTTGTAGTCTAAGTGCTTTCCCTTTGGCTTTATGTCATTGCTTTACCACTTCTATTTATTTTCTGTCATGTAGTATTGATGTTATTTATATATTTATTCACATGACAAGTTGTGTTTTTTCTGGGTTTTTTTTCTGTTTTTGTTCCTAGTGTGGTTATAAGTATTAAAAAAACAGTGGGATCAAATTGATTTGTGACAGGTATGGACTCCTAAAATAGTGTGTTATCTGTGTTATCCTTTGTTTTGTGACATTAGAAGCACTAAAATAGATTATTAAATAAATCAACATTTTATACATTTTTATTTCAGTTTTTTTTTTTCATTGTGTGTTTGAGGGAAAAAAGATTTTTAAAGAAAATGTAAAGATTTTAGAGAAGACATATATTTAAAAAGAGCATCTCTAAATGCACACCACATCAAACCTTGAAGGCAGTAGCAGACCACTCCTGGCAGCTAAGAATAGGACACTGAGGCAACAATTTATACAGGGTCACAAAAATTGGACAATACTGGAAAAAAAATCATGTTCTGAATCTCAATTTCTGTTTCAACGTTCAAGTGGTAGAGTCAAAATTTGGCATAAACAACAAGAAGGAATGGTTTCATCCTGCCTTGTCTTAATGGTTCAGGCAGCTGGTGGTGCTGTTATACATTTAGGGCCCTTAATATCATTGAACCCCACAGCCTACCTGAGTATTGTTGCTGACCATGTCCATCCCATTATGATCACAGGGTACCCATCCTCTGATGGCTGCTTCCAACGGGAAGTTTAAATCATCTTAAACTGGATTCTTGAATATGACAGTGAGCTCACTGCCTTCAGAATCTCCTCACCATCACCAGATCTCAGAACACATTTGCTGGAGCAGAACATTCAAAATCTTTGAGGAACGTTCCCGGTGCCATGCTACATTTATGCTACATTTATGCCACAAAGAATTGTTACATTCACAGAAGGCTGTTTGCTAGTATTTACCAGACAACCAAGCCAGCAGACTAACTCTCTGTTGGCTTTAATAATTACCTGACAGACAGGAGAACAGCATTGATCTTCTTGTATAGATCTCAGCAAGAGACAAAAAATAAGAGCAGCTCCCAAAATGTTAAACATATGTTTATCAATTAAATTTGCTATTGTGCTTATGCAGGCCAAATGAAAATGTGAAGGAAATAGCTGTTATATTAAAAAGGCAGAAAATCTAGAGTGACAAATAGAAGATATATTGAAGAATTGGAGAAGGTACATGTTAAACTTTTAGTATGACTTAGGCATTAAATATCCTGACTATCAGAAGATGGGCATTTTGTGTGTGACCATGTATATAAAATATATTTAAATCTCTTTGAGTATGCTTTAGTGATTTTAATTATTTAATGGCATAGACATGAAGTTTTTGGTAGAGCTTTTGACTTGTTAAACTCAAACAATTTTGTAAAACTTTAGTAAGATAGGGCCATTTCCCCAGAATGTGCATAGTTTATAATGTCAGTATTGAAACAGTGTTTTCAGCAATGATAGTTCTTTTCTCCAAGTATGTATGTAGGCTATACAGTACACAGAGAATTTGATATTAGTTGAGTTCTTCCTCTTGACCTAATGTTTTTGTACAGTAATTTATACACAAAGACATAAAGAAAATTAGCCTAAGGGTTTCAAAAAGTTGTTTTAGTTCTCCTCTGATTTATTGTAAATATGTTATTGATTGTGTAGCACATCCATAAAACCTCGTAATTACTTTCTGGTTGGTTAATATTGATGCAGTATGACACTAATAAAGTCAATTAAAGTTTGAAAGTGATTGCTTAGAGACAGGCCTGTGCAATCTTGTAATCAAAAGTGACAGTGACCACCCAGAAGTTGAGGGTTTTGCAAGTTCAACCTATACGCAGCCACTTGGTCACTGCAACTATTTGCAATCAGTTGCTGAAAGTAAAAATTCAATGCAATCACCGGGCATCAAGCAACCAAATGGGTGATGTCCTAGTTTTACTTTAGTGCAACTGATCAGTTACAACTTAACATGCCCAGAGCCAGCACATAATGAAGACCACTCATCTAATTCAGTTTAGTTTCCCTGAGGAATACCATAATAGGAAATTCTTGCTGAGGACTGCATGCTGCACAGCCAGTGATTCTTGCTGATGACAATCCTCTCTGTGTGTAAGAGCAGCAATACATTGTAGCCAGTCTGAGGTTAAGCCTAAACTTCAATAGCTGCATTTTCTCCATGATAACTTTTTCATTTATCTTTGATTTAGCTAGTGGTTGTTTTCACTGTGTGATAGCAGTGCTTTTTGGCTCAACGAAAACTTGGAAGTGAACAGGATCCAGACAGTCCGCCCTTTTATCAGCCTTTAAGATGAAAATCAGCTTGTGATTTGATTATTGGTTGTCGTTGTTGTTGTTGTTGTTGTTGTTGTTGTTGTTGTTGTTGACTGTGTCAAGATGCAGTGCTAAAAATCTAAGGGTGCATATTTCCATTTCCACCATTGGATAAAATTGCACTCTGTTCCTGCTGACTAAGACTGAACATCAGATATTTTGGAGTAAATATCTAACTATCCAAATTTCAAGGGATGATTAATGCTTAACTTTCCTGACACCTATAATGTTTAACTCCCTAAATAACTTAGCATTTAATAATTACATTTCTGGGAATCTTTGAAACTTAACTTGATTCTCTCTGTCCTCTCTCTGTGCAAAAGCAGCAGTATATTCATTGAAGATATTTTGAGGTGAAACTTAAACTTGATTAGTTTCTCTCCATTATATGGTGGCTGTGTGCATCCTAGTCTAGTGTACACAAGATTTTAAAAAAGAAAGGTTTCAGCTTCAGGGGCTCTGTAGTACAGCCCTCAATGTTTCCAAAACTGAAAAGCGTGAGTGCAAAACTATATAATAACTAGCAAAAACAACAAAAACGGAAGTTATTTTTGAGGCATATTACGGTTGCAGGGCATTGTGGGTGACTACAGTATGCAGAAATTTAGAGTTAGATTTTTAGAAGTTTCATAGATAGAGAGAGTGTGTAGCTGTGTGTGTGTTTGACACCTGTGTTTGTGTGTAGAGCATGTTGAAGTGTGAGACAGCGACATGATGGGACATTTGTAATACACATCTGTGATTTTAGTTGTAGGGATAACAACTGCCATGTGTCTCAGTACAGGTTTTATAGATTTATAGGTCTAAGACACTTCGTTTTATCTACCATGTGTGCAATCATATCGTGGTTTAAAGAACAAATTTTGTATGTAAAAACAAAATCAAATGTTGGCACAAGATTAAAGTCATTTTAATAACACAGTTGAAATATTGTCATCTTTTCTAGTGCATCTCCTTTTGGCCAGAGTTCTTATAATTTGGGATTTTCTACATAGTTTTTAATCCAATTGCATTTTGACTTTTTTGTTTTTAATTCAGTTCAGTTTCGGTTCATTTTCAGTTTAGTTTTCATTGTTTGAAAATGTTTATTTTCGGTCTTTTTAATTAATAATGAGGAGGGCACATATCAAAGGCAAGATTTAATGTATATCTATAAATTTATGTGGATGCACTCAGACTCCTGGAACAAAAAATTGCAGAACACGAGTCACATCTGGAACATTTTGGCCGTGCACCAGCTGTTGTCCATCAGCTGGATCATGCAAGCAGAATTATCCTTTAATCCTGGAGGGCATGAAAATGTAATTACTTAAAAGAATATTTAATTTACAGAGTGTGGACTAGAAGTTAAACATTCTGTGTGTTACACCCGTAACACCGAGACTCACTTTTTTTTACAAATGGGACTTTCAAATAGATTTTTTTTTTTTCGTCTGTTACAGGGTACACGAAAGCTGTGGGAAAACAGAGGGTTTTCAACACACAGAAGAAAAGGGAATGCTGACTTTGCATGTCTTAATAACGTGAGCAAAGTCCACATAGTGGCATTTCCCGGGGAGGAGAATATTGATGTGTTTCAGTGGGTTTACCAGTGCCTTTGACCTTCCTTATCTAAACAGAGTTAAACCAGGGTGCAAAACAAATGACTGTCACTCGCTCTAAAGAGCTGTCAGCATGAAGAAACAATCGACCAGTCTTCGAGTGCGGTTACCTGTGTTTGTGTTCATCGCAGAGGTGATTATTGTTGCCTTGTATTCAGCATTTGTTACATATGATGAAGAGGCTGATGCCAAATTTCAGACTAATCAGACCAACCCTATGCACAATGCAGTGTACAGGGACTACCCTTTCTTTATAGACATACACTTCATGATATTCGTGGGTTTCGGGTGCCTGCTGGCATTTTTCCGATTCTATGGTTTTGGGGGGATGGTTTTCAACTTCCTCACAGCTACTTTTGCCATCCAGTGGGCCATTCTGGTGCAGGGCTACTTCCAGTTTAGCCATGATGGTAAGATCCACCTCGGAGTGATCAATCTCATAAATGCAGAGTTTGCCTGTGCTGTGGTGCTGATATCGTATGGGGCAGTGCTGGGGAAGACCAGTCCTTTGCAGATACTGGTTATGGCTCTGCTGGAGGTTCCTGTGTTTGCCGTCACAGAATGGGTTGTGCTTAAGTATCTGAAGATCAATGATGCAGGAGGCTCCATTCTCATCCATCTCTTTGCCTGCTATTTTGGCTTGGGTGTCACTTTTGTGCTGTACAGGCCTAGTCTAAATGAAGGCCACGCAAAGGAGAACACAAGTTACCATTCTGACATCCTGTGTCTAATGGGGACCTTGTTCCTCTGGGTGTTCTGGCCCTCCTTTAACTCAGCTTTAGTCCTGAAAGGAGACGATCAGCACAGGGCTATCCTCCACACTTTCATTGGACTAAGTGCCTCTACACTTACAGCCTTTGCACTCTCTGCTATGCTGAATAAAAATGGCAAGCTTACCATGGCTGATATTCAGAACGTGACCCTGGCTGGAGGTGTGACAGTCGGGGCATCTGTGGATATGATGATATCACCTGTAGCTGCATACGCTCTGGGTGTAATAGGGTGTATTGCATGCATGCTGGGCTACAAGTATTTGAGCCCCATCTTGGCGCGACGTTTGAGGATCCAAGATCAGTGTGGCATTCACAACTTGCATGGACTAACCGGACTTATATCCTGCACTGCAGGGATATGTGCCATACTGACAGCTAGTGAGGAGGTTTATGGCCCTAGTTTCTATGAGATCTTTGCCCACAGAGCACCAGTGGAAGGGGACCCCAAGCTACAAGAGCTACGGATGGTGATTCCCGGTTTAAAGGCAGGTTTGGGGAGGACTGCCCAAAAACAGGCTCTCTTCCAGGTTGCAGCTATATTCTCCACCATAGGACTGTCAGCGCTGGGAGGCATACTCACAGGCTTTCTCTTGAGGCTGCCATATTTTGCATTTCCGTCTGACGATTTCTGTTTTGATGACAAGCCATTTTTTGAAGTTCCTCCTGACTATGATTTACCAGTCAGACTTAAACACAGCAACACAAATAGTGTAGAAGACTCTACTGTGTGATGCTCAGCAGCCAAGGACTGTCAGTGCATTTAACTGGCATGATACAGGAAATATATATAAATGAGGCTATGTTATTGTTTGAGAGTAAAGAAAATTATTGCAATGATGGAAATCTGTGTTATAGTAATTTTTTTATTCTTTTTTTATATAAATTTCATTGTAAATGATATTTCACTAGTGATCACAGTGATGATACGGTCCAGCACAGACTTATATTGATGGTCATTATGTTATTCGTTTCCATGTATGTAAACATTTGAGAAACTGTGTTAAAGAGCAAATTAGACATTGTTGTTTTTTCTACGAACCTTTGTAACCTTTGTAATATTACTAATTAATGGTCTACGGGGGAACAAGATAAACAGCTTAGAGCAGCAGTGTCTATATTTATTAACAGAAACTCACCTGGGGGCCAACATTTCTTCTTGCCTTTTTGAAACATAAATATTGTGCTTTTTTCAATAACAGAAGAGTTCTCATTACTGTGATCATGTGTGTTTAAGCCTTGACAAAATAAATCTACTTTTCATTCACATATGGAGAGAAAATAAGAAGATCAAGCTGTCTGGAATAACTAAAACTTCAGTGAAGCTGCTTAATTTCAGTATCTCAGGCTAAATTTAAAAGAGACTCACTATTCTGTGTATTGCCTGAGTGTATAAAACTTTATACATTCATTGGCTGCACTGCATGGTGCTGCCACTATTAGGTACAAATTAAAATAACACTTTATTAATTCTGTTTGTGATGACAGGCCATAAAGAATACATTTTAACAAAGGAGCGAGAGGCTGTATAAGAGCTGACCGAGGGCCGTGATTGGTCACCGGGACGGACTTTTGACATGTTCAGTTTAGAGAACTGAACATAAGCAACAGAATTGGTAGAAAATATTATATATACAGTACTATTCAAACAGGGCCTCTCGGTTCCAGTAGGTGGCAGCAACGCAGCACCAAACGTTACCGCTGCAGTAAATGCCCATAGCAGAGGAAGAACACGAAGAAGAAGGAAGGAGATCGGCGAGGTACCAGGCCACGACCTGCAACGGGGACTTCCTTAAACGAGGTTATATAACTTCCGAAATTGTGACTTCATCTTGGCTTTGTGTAATCTACAAAGAGAAAGGCGTCGAAGAGGATTCTCTACACCAGAACGTTTTCCGCGATATTTTCACTTTGGCACAACATTTCCTTCAGTTTCACACGGTAACGTCAATGTTTGCTAATGAAGCTCGCTCGCTACCGCGGAAGCGCGGTTAGCTTTTTAGCCGTATTCGAACCTAAGCGTTTCTTTTTGGTTTCCACCATAAATATTATCTGGAATCGTGTAAAATACGTCAAAATGGTGGTTGGTTGATTATAGGTTTGCATATCTACAAGCCTGCTATTATTCATATTATCAAAATGGTCAGCATAGATTCAGTGCGGGCCTTTGAAAGCACGGCCGTGGTGGCTAGTTAGCATTAGCTACGTTTCGGGTAGACGCGTGCGCAACGTTGAGATTTTAGAAAGCTTTGTTGTTCTTCGGGTACAATTAAATATGTTTTTCTTATGTTGTCCGTATCAATCGATCATGTAACGGATTGTATGTTGAGCATGTGATACTAATAAGAAAATCTAGGACTCATCGTTACCACGCCGTGTGTATTTGTAGCGTTTACTCTGGGTATTACAGTTTCTCGTGCGCAAACGGATCACTGAAATGTTTTTCTTCCTTTTTCTTTCTTATTGCAGGATCAATATGGCTGATGACTTTGACGTTGAGGCCATGCTGGAGGCTCCATACAGAAAGGTGGGTTTAAAAGTCGGAGAAGTGAGGCCTGTGTTGCTGTTCGGCCTTTTTATTTTTAGACCTTTTATATTTGCTACTGTGACAAAGTTAACTTGAATGTTGTGTGGTGTGAATGAGTATTTAAGACGCAATACAGAATTATAAATAAATCCACATCTATCTCTCTTTATAGACTTCCCTAATGATATCTCACCTCTACTCCCATGAATTCATCTTTGATTCCACTGTGAACTGTGAAAAAAAGGAAGGTAGTTATTGCGCATATACTGATGTACTGTGGTTCACTTTAGGACTAAAAGAGATTCAACCCAGAACATCCAATCCCTATTCGGTTGCTACAAGGTGAATGCCAATGGTTGATAAGCCCATCTTTACTTGTCCAGCAAAGGAGGCAGTATTCAGATTTACAATCTGTATGTTGTCGCTGTTTATGAATGTGCAGGGTTTTTTCAATAAGAGCCTTTTTAAATGGAAAACTGTTTTGTATTGTTAAAAATCTCCTCTGTGTGTGTGTGTGATTTCAACATTATTTTTCTGTTATATAGCATTAACAAGTCTAGTCTTTAGCAAGAATCAGTATATAAAGTTGTGCTAAAGTATAATTTCCTCAGGCAGTTGTATTTGTATGTAGTTGTGTCTGTGTCAATCTGTGAGTGGCGTAATTCCTGAAGTTATAATGCAGCAAAATTCTTGAAAATCCAGCGATTGCATTTTTGTCATAGTTCTACAGCAGAATTATCGGTGACAAGTTATTTTTCTCTCGCTGGTAAATATGAATACTGCCTCTTTGCCTTAGCCAACTGTAATGTGAATCAGCATCTTGATTTTTGCATGCTACAGAACACCACAGATATTGATATATTTCTAGAATAACTGTAAAATAGCTACATCTGCCTTTTATTGTATGATAAGATGATTTACTTTCAGTAGTTAATAATTCCTTAAGTCAAAAGGTTGTAAGTATTACTGTAAACTGAAGATGATGGTAGTGTAACACGTGGATGAATTAATCTTTATTTATTTATTTGCTTGGGCGTCAATATTACTAAGAAGTGTGAATCCCTGTTTGCTTCAGGGCAAGATGTGTGACAGAGGTGGCATCGAGCTCTTACAGTCCAAGAACGAAAATGGGTGAAGATCTCTGGACTGACACCAACCACACAGGATCTCTTTTAGTGGCCATGGGCCATGCGTGGTCACATGTTTAGGCACAAATAGTGGCATTGGTACGACCTATTAGAAGGGTATTGGTGGAGATGACCTGACTATTGTCAGCTTCCTGAACTGAGCTAATATGTTGGAAACTCTCCCTTATCTTTGCTTTGTTGCATTAACTATTGAGCAGCTTAGTAAAAGAGGGGGGGAAAAAAACAAAGGATGGAGTGGGATGGGAAGCTATTGGGGTGGTGGAAGGACACTGTCCAGACATGACTGTAGGAAGTTTGTATTTTTATTAATTGAATATATTCTGCATTTTCTCTTGTCCCACCCCATCCCCTTTACCTTGACGACATGAAATGTTTCATCTACGTCCTCATGATGTTCTTCTATCGACCTTGCTTAGGATGAGAACAAGTCCTCTCATGCAAATGGACACGATGACCAGAGCAAGAAGTAAGTTTTGGTTATCCATCATGTTACCTAAATAGTGCTTAATCAGACAAAGTTCTGCTTTAAAGTGTGTGTACAACAACAGAACTGTTGTAACACTTTACAGGAAAAGGAGGAGTCGGAGCCGAAGCCCGGGCTCCAAAAAGAAGAGGAGCAGAAGCAAAAGCAAAGACAGAAAGAAGACTAAGAAGAGGAGCAAGAGCCGGGAAAGAAAAAGAAGCCGCAGCAGAGAGCGCCATCGCAGCCGCTCCCGAAGCAAAGATCGAGCTGGGCGGTACAGAGCACGCAGGAGTCCGATGTATGTGACCTTTTACGCTTGCTAGTCAGAAAAATATTACATTAACTTTATTGGGTACTGAAATTGTATGATTTTAGGTCTTTTTAATGTTGTTGTACTTAATTTATTTTTGTAATTTTAAGTTGGTTGCTTGTTTATGTGAAAAGAACATGATTCCCCCCCCCAAATGTAAAATAATTCTTATTTGTTTTTTAGTCGCAAACGTTCCAGAAGTCGGAGCCCCTTCAAAAAAGAAAAGAGCCCCATTAGGTAAGATAAAACAGTCACGTGAGTGGTTTTATGTATGCACACATGTTCTGATTTTTCGTAGGCCTTGACTCACCAAACATTTGAAAATTCAAAATACTGTTACACTCAGCTAGAAAGACATGCATAGCATACAAGCAAAGGAGCAGGTAGCACAGTGCTGCAAATGCATCTTCCTTAACGACAGGCTTTGAATAGTCAAAGACGGACTGTTAAAAACACCAAAAAGAACACTCTTATGAGGTCCTTCAGTGACTTACATTGGTATAAGTATTGTCTGTCGGCTCTTCAGTTGCCTACCTTGACAGGCCTAGCAAGCAAAGCTGCCATACCGCTCAAGTTAAACCTTACCTGTCCCTGAGTGTTTGAGTTACTTAAAAGTCCTCCCAGTTCAGCATCAGTTTCCCACAACAGCAGCAGCAGCAATATTAGTGGCCAGAAGTGGTCATCTTTACAGTCTGTCATCTCGAGGGGTACCAGAACAAAGAAAACATGTGTTCTCCAAATCTTCAGGTTATGGTTTTAGTTTTAGGTTTCTATACTATCACAGCTTTAAAGTTTTAAAATATCTTTAAGCATTTGTTATTGGTTTGTGATTAACATGCACATTTGGTTTTTGTCCTTTTCCTCCTAAGGGCACCAATTGACAATCTAACACCAGAGGAGAGAGATGCCCGCACTGTTTTCTGTATGCAGCTTGCTGCAAGAATCAGAGCTCGGGACCTGGAGGATTTCTTCTCAGCCGTTGGAAAAGTCAGTTGACTTTCAGTTTGTGTAAATTCCAAATGAATGCCATCCAGGAATTTGGCTCTGAAAATGTGACTGTTCTCTCGCTATAGGTTAGAGATGTGAGAATAATCTCTGACAGAAACTCCAGGAGATCGAAGGGGATTGCATACATAGAGTTTGTGGAGTCCTCCTCTGTACCTCTGGCAATTGGATTGACTGGCCAGAGGCTTTTAGGAGTGCCCATCATCGTCCAGGCATCTCAGGTTAGTGTCGTTTCTTTTTGTGGACTTGAATATAGAACAAGTCGATTAGTTCTACTCACTTTGACCAGACATATTAATAGTCAGCTGCCGTGTTGCAAACTCCATACCAAGAACTTTGAGGGGGAAAAAGAAAAAACCCATTTCTATCGATTAAAAAAAAAAAAAAAACAGACCAGAAAGTGGAAAATAACTTAAAATATTAACAGAACTTAAGTGATTCAGATTGCATTAAAGCAAATGCTGATTCTGCACTAAGGTCCATTATCATTTTGACATTACTTAATGTAATTACACTAAAATTCTTCAATCATGTCATCTCTATTTCTAATTACAGGCAGAGAAGAATAGAGCAGCAGCTGCTGCCAATAATCTGCAGAAGGGCAGTTCAGGTCCGATGCGCCTGTATGTGGGCTCACTGCACTTCAACATTACTGAAGAAATGCTTCGAGGGATTTTTGAGCCCTTTGGAAAGGTCAGGAGAACTCTGCAAATATTAATTTGTTTTAATCTATTTAAGTGAATGTAGTATAATCATCTGTACGTGTGTTTCTTCTTCATAGATTGAAGGAATCCAGCTTATGATGGACAGCGAGACTGGCCGATCCAAAGGATATGGCTTCATATCGGTAAACAAAGCCTTTTGTATGTCTTTGGTAGCTTTTTGTTTGCTGCTGGGTTCACTTTGTAACCTTTTAACTTTCTGAAGTTTGCAGATGCGGAATGTGCAAAAAAGGCATTGGAGCAGCTGAACGGCTTTGAGCTAGCCGGACGGCCAATGAAGGTGGGGCATGTTACAGAGCGCTCAGACTCTTCAACAGCCAGCTCGTTCCTGGATAATGACGAACTAGAGAGGACTGGTATTGACCTAGGGACTACAGGGCGTCTACAGCTGATGGCTCGACTAGCAGAAGGTTTGTAATGGCACTTGGCAGACATATCCATTCCTGGAAAAATTTCTGGTCGTAATAAAAGAGGAAGGAACAGCTTATTAGCAAAGTAATGAGTCAAACCACAGGCATACATGTAATATGTAACAGTGTCAGGGTCATTTATTATACTGGAATAAGCCAGAATGAGTGGTTAAGTATTTTTACTTTACACTGACCTAAATTTGGTTTTTCAAACACAATTTTTATAAATGTAAATCTCCAAAATAACATTAATCCTACTTACTGTATTAGCATATGGACAGAAAGCAGGGGGCACTAGTAGACCATTTTAGGCGGGAGCTTTAGCCTCATCTTCTTTGCCTTTTTTCTCTACTACCCCAATGTTAAAGTACTGTATAACTACAATTATTTAAACATTATTAAATATATTTTAATGTCCTGCCATGATTCCACATTGTTTGCTTTCCAGAAACGTTAACACTGAGAAGTCCGATTTATTTATTTATTTATTTTAACACGTGAATTATGGTGTGCCATAACTGGAACCAATTTTCACTGCAACGTTCTATGTAACCTGACATGCACCTCCAAGAAATGTAACTACCTGTTAGGTCTGCCTATACCACGATGATTTGAATGGCATGGTGCAGGGATAAAAGGAGTTTCCAGTTACAATATCAGTTAGGATGTAGATTTCCTACAGATGTGTAACTCAAGCTTTAAGCCTGGAAAGAAGGACACAACTTGAGTCACCACATGGCTGTGAAACCTGTTTTTGTTTGTTTTTCCCCCACCAACTACATATCTTTGGTAGAGGGAAATGACCATGTGAATGAAAGTGATTGTTTCTCTGTCCTCATCAGGCCACACTACATGTCATGCTTCTGCTGCCTTTAAGTGTCTAAAATTAACCCTATGCAAAACAATTTCTTTCTCTCAACAGGGACTGGTCTGAAGATCCCACCTGCTGCTCAGCAGGCTCTACAGATGACTGGCTCCATACCCTTTGGGGGCATTGGCGCTCCAGCAGGTGAGCCTAGATGATGGAAGATATTTAGTATTTGATATGTTTTCTTGCCACAGGTTTAGTGACAACTTTTTTTTTTTTCTTCTTCTTCTTTCTTCCAGCTGTTCCAACCCCAGCTCCAAGCCAAGCTTTGAACCTCCCATCTCAGCCACTGGCCACACACTGCCTTCAGCTGTCCAACCTGTTCAACCCACAAGCGTAAGGACATTATCCTTCAAATAAGTTCACTTTAAGTTTGTCTTAAGCCTTTGCATCTCTGGACTGAGAGCAAAGCATATTGTCAGATGGCTTGTTCAAGTTTTCACTATCAAAGAAGAATCTGACTGTTTTAAATGAGGCGTTTAATGGAATTCATTTGTGTTGGAACCAATTTAGTAGAGGTCTGAGTTTTTAACATCAGTGTCCAGTGATTCTTAAGTCATCAATCCTTTAATTCATAATTTTTCTCTACTCTAAACACTTTCGTGTATTCAAAATACCTCTCTCTTATCCGTAGATCGATTTCTGTTCAAAAGTTTGAGACAGAAAATATACACAAGGCAAGTGCTGAACCGAAAACAAGCCAACAATGAAATAATAAACTGGTCACATGCTTGAGCTCTGCAGTGTGCAAGCTTGACAAGTCTGTGTGGTCTCAGTTCCTCCTGTCAGTGAAGAAATCTCTTTTGAAATGACTTAACAGAAAAGTAATGGGGAAAAATCCAACTGTGCGTTATTTTTCAGGCTAATTCTGAATTTTGTTTCAATCTGAAAACACAAAAGATGTGCATTCAGCTGGTTTTAAATTTGTGAAACTCATTAAGTTAAAAATCAATCTTTTTGAGTCAAGCGGAACATTTTACTGGATTTCTAATATTGCTGATTATTTTTGCAGGGAAAATGATCCCAGCTGGGCAGCTGAAATCCAAGATGATGTGATTGAGGAATGCAACAAACACGGTGGAATCGTTCACATTTATGTCGACAAGAACTCTCCTCAAGTAAGTCGAAGATTAAAACGAGATAGTTTTAACATCAGTGCTTTTTTTTTGCCATTTTTTTTTTGAAATGCACAAGCAGTAAAGTTGATATCTCTCTTGCTCACATAGGGTAATGTGTATGTGAAGTGTCCCTCGATACCAGCAGCCATGGCAACTGTAAATGCACTTCATGGACGCTGGTTTGCAGGTATGCAGCACTGCTGAAGATGGCAGCTATTAACTAGTTTTTAAGCTGCAAATATCTTAGGTCTAATTCAAGTAAAATTAATTTTCTCTTTTTTCTTTTTAAATATTCTCGATCAAACTGTAGGTTCTAATGTTTACATTTGTCTTTCTTTCACAGGTAAAATGATAACAGCTGCCTATGTTCCTTTACCAACCTACCACAACCTTTTCCCTGATTCAGTAACAGCAAAGCAGCTTCTAATGCCGTCACGCCGATAGTCAAAGACAAGCTTCTGAAGTCTGTAAATACATTTGTTTGCATTCATGAAAATGTCATTGAAACATTTGCATTGAAATTAGTTGGCTGTGTGTAATAAAAGTGGCCTCAAGTTCACGTTCACCATTTTGGGGGAATTTTTTTTTTTTTGTTTAGTTGCTTTTCAAATTTTTTGTGGGCTTGTGTTGTAAACTACCACTGAGAAGTAATCTGCAGATATCTATTGGTCTACATGTTTTTAAATATTACTGTCATATCTGCTTGTTTAAATTCAGAACTTTTAGATTTCAAATAAAAGTGCAGAGTTAGAAAAAAAAAAAAAGTGTTGGGATGATAGGCCTTAAATGCCAAAAGTACATCGACAATAATCCTTTGTAACTTTATACAGCCATAATTTCATTTTTGTATGAAGGCTCCCAATAAACTTGGCAAATTTGATGGTTCATTTTCTTTTTGTTATCATTTTGGGGAGTTTTCAATGCCAGGTTAATGCCTCTGTGATTAAAGTCCTAATTACAGTATTGGACCAATGTTTTTACTCATTCCCTGCTATATACATGTCCCAAAAACCCACACATGGATGAGGGATACGTCTTTAGACAAGGCACTCTACCACCTAAACAAAATTAAACATACCTAGGGAATTCCCTCTTGGATGGGCAATCAGAAAACTGGTCACGTGAATTTGGGTTAATTTAGCAAGTTGATAACCAGTGTGTGATATTAGCACTATCAAATCTAAATGGAGTGTTTCACAGGTCATATGATGAATCTTCCACAGAAAATGATCCATATGACTGCCACCTACTCTGAGAGACATTATCAGATAATGGTAAAATGATGACTGAAAAT